AAGTAAAAAGGAAAATGCTAGGGTGCCAGCACATGGGTGCTACCATGGGTGCACTCATGCTTCACACAGACAAACACAAACAATAATTGTCTATATCGCACAGACAATTAAGAAGAAAGAGTTTTTTGGAACACTAGAAAAATTGTTAATGGATCCCCGTGCTAAGGTGGTTGCCATGGATCCCCGTGCTAAGGTGGTTGCCAAATGGCGGATTATTAATGCGTATCGTGGAGCTTCATTCATGACTAGACATGATCTAAGTATAATATTAAATGAACTATAAGACAATTTTTTTATGACCAAAGTCTATATTCCTTGTATAGACTTTAGTGTATGGATACCAAGAAAGAACTAGGCTCTTTGCAAAACTAAAATAGAAGTAAACTATGAGAAAAGTATCAAAATAGAATATAATCTTCCTATTTTTTACTCGATCTTAAAATAGAAGTACAATGCTAATAATTCTAGTATGCAGTACCAAAAAATATAGTTGGAAGCTATGATGCAGTGTCATAATGTCACAATACAAATTCTTATTTGAGAGATAAAAACATAAAACTCTATCCTCTTTTAAGGATAAATGATACTTCTTCCGTTTCAACAACTTCTTCCCTTTTTTTTCATATCCCACATAATTATTCTATTTTCTATTAAAAAATCACTTTTACTCGTACTAATTCTTAACCTACATATCACATCATAGCTTTTTACTAATAAACTACCCATCACATCATATTTTTACCATCACATCAAGGGTATTTCTGAAAAAGTCAATGCAAAATTATTCTTCTCTTTAATTTTCTAAAAATCAAAGCGAGAACATCTTTATGAAATGGAGGAAGTATATTTTATACTCCATCCGTTCTCAAAAATACTTCTTTCGTTTTTTCCACTTTCAATAAAATACTTCCACTTTTTATTAAAAACCACTTTTACCCTTACTTTTTAATACCATACTTATCACATTATACATTTTCTTTAATAATTTATCCATCACATCTTACTTTTTCTTATCACATCAAAGGCAAAATTGAAAATCAACTACAATTTAATACATCTTTATTTTTACACTTGGTCAAACTAGAAACTCTTTTTTAGAACAGAGTATTTATATATGTTGATTTCTTTTTGAAAAAAAACCACTTTATCAATGCATGAATTAACAATGGAAAAAGCTCTTCATTTCACTAGTACACTTATGACCGTTTGTAAACAACAACAAAAGCACAACTCACGAATAAACGGTTTTGGTCCAAAAGGTGGAATCGCCCACCCCAGGCGCCCTCACCCCCTTGGCCGACAAGAATGGTGGAGGATGTAAATCATGGTGACTCAGTCGGCCAAGAACGCTAGACCCGTGCCCACCGCGCACAAGGAGCCTCCTCACCCTTTATGGGATTTTTGGATAGCTCCCACACTGCCGCTTGCGGGATTCGATCCCTGGTCATCGGTCCAAGATTTCACGCTCTTGACCAACTGACGCCCGAAGAGTACTCCAACTATGCAAGTGGGAGGAGACTCATCATTATTAATACTTCCTCCGTCCCTAAATAAAGTTTCTCTTTCGTTTTTTCTTTGTCCCTAAATAAACTTTTCTTTTCCCTTAAAAAACCCTTTTTATCCCTTACTTTTTCATACCCTAACTATCACATCATACTTTTTTACTAATAATCTACCTATCACATCTTACTTTTACACATCACATCAAGGGTATTTTTGGAAAGTCAACACAAAAATATTCCTTCCTTAAATCCTCAAGAAGTCAAAAATGGAACTTTATTTAGGGACGGATGGAGTAATATTTAGCGGCCAAATAGCTTCCATGCCCCATGTGCTTTGGAAAATTGACATCAATACCACCTTTATTTTCAAAACTTATTTCTAAAATTCTTGTGTTTTCAAAACGTTGTACCCACACACCCTCCGATCATTTTCCGGCCATTTTCCGGCGAAGAGGGGGCATTGGCGCATAATTCCTAAATCACGGGGGCATTCATGCTCATTTCTTATTTTCTTTTATTATTTTTCCCCTTTTTAAAAATATCTTCTATCTCTTTTTCCTTTTCCTAGATTTTTTTAAAAATATTGTTGGGTTATGGAACCCGGGGCCTATGTAACTAGGCGAAAGAGTATCGAACTAGTTCAAGAGTGCACGAAATATGGGGTCAGGTAAACTGAGGATAGTATTGCCGTAGTCAGAGTATCACTTCGAACCCCTCCTCCCCTTAGAAGGGAAAAGGTTTATATACTAGTTACAGCTAGGGTTCCGACCGCTGGTCCGTAATTCAACGGTCTGGGCCCACCAAGATTGGGTTGTTCACTGGCGGCGTCCAACCACATAATTAACCTTAGGACTGCTACACAAAGTAGGTAACAAGTAGGGTGGCTATAGCGACTCTGCCAGAGGCATGACAGGAGTCTAATCGTGGGCCCCTTGATCCTGACTTCAGTCAGCTCCTTTGTCTAAGTCTGGTCTGCCGCTGCTCAGGGCCGAGGCCGAGCGCTTGACCTGTCGTCGGAAACCTCCAGGCGGAAGGCCGGCCTTGGTTGCTCCGAGGATGACTGACCCTGCCGGGGCTGAGTGCAATTCGCTGGTCTTTCGCCTTGGACCCGCCAAGTGGGCCTTGGCGCAGTTGGGCTGGGCCGTCCTCCTGCTGGGCTGGATACCCATCAAATATATTTTCAATTTTTCAATTTTTTATATAATGTTTTCAATTTTTCAATTTTTTATAATGTTTCAAAAATTTTAAAATTTGTGTTTGAAATAAAAAAAATAATTAACATACATAAAAACCATATCAAATTAAACATTTTCACCTTCTGTTACTTAGAATAATTTTTTGAAAAGTTCAAAAAAAAACCCAGAATAAAAAAATAAAAATATGGAAAAACGAAATGAAAAAAATTAAAATATGCAAAAGAAGTCTTATACAAAAAAATTAGACACACCTAAAAAGTCCTTAGAATTAACATGTCCAAAAAGGATATTCATTTTTATTTTTGTATTATTTTGTTTCTTATTTTATTCCTCATTTCTTGAAGTCTCAAAAAAAATTTACTTTTTTTCAGAAAAAACAAAAATTGTTAATTTGAGACGTACATATGCATTATATCTTAATTTTTTCTAACAAAAGTAACTTTAAATTTTAAGAAACATTATAAAAAAATCTTTATTAATAAATGAAATAAAAAAGGAAAAAATGGAAAAAAAATGGAAAAAACAAAAAATATGAAAGAAATAAAAATCAGCACTGATACCCCCTATGGTTTAAAAAACATGCACCAATACCCACCTCCTCGCCGGAAAAATGGCCAGAAAATGATCAGAGGGGGCACGGGTGCAGCATTTTGAAACCGCAGGGACTTTAAAAATGAGTTTTGAAAATAAAGGGGGTATTGGTGCTTGTTTTACAAACCACGAGGGGTACCGGCGCTATTTGACCAATATCTAGCTATACTAATTATTAGGGTATCCTCCTTTCTCACAAATAGTCTTCTAAAAAACACGTTTTCTTTCATTTTTTTTCCATTTTCACTTTCTACTAAAGAAAACCATGTACTCCTATTTTTTTTAACAATCTATATATCATATCTTACTTTTTACCCTTCACATCAAGAGCAAAATTAAAAGTCAACTATAATTTAACACTTCCTTATTTTATCACTTGGTCAAAAATGAAACTCTTTTCAAGAACGGACAGCCCTACTACTCTCTTTGTCTCACAAAACATTACCCATTTTGAATAGTATTTGATCAAAAAATCACACTTTGACTAAAAATTGTGAGAAAAGTATATTGAATTATAATATAAATTTAATATAATTAGATTCATCTTAGGATCTAGTTTTGATATATCAAGTTTTGTAACATTTCTTCATTTAGATTATATTTAATTTATGATCAAAGTGTGTAACTGTTCGACTAAAAATACATCAAAATAGGTACTCCCTCTGCCCACCATAGATCTTCGCAGTCACTATTCACATGGTCAAACTTAATTCACTTTGTTTGTTTATTTTTACTACTCATTTCATAAAATAATACTCCATCAATCCTAAAACTTTCTTCCCACTTCTCTTTTTTCTCCGTCCTAAAACTACCTTCCCATTAGAAAAAAAGATGACAAATGACATTAATATCTTCATGTATTTACACCAATTGTCTTCTAATTTTATATTTTGAATGATTGCAAAAAAAATTCAAAAAATATTTTTTAAGGAGGGTAAAATTTGAAGTCAAAGCCAAAAATTAAAAATGGAGAAAAGTCAAACTGAGAAGAAAGTTTTAGGGCAGAGGGAGTATAATATTGTCACCTCTAGTTTTGTAGAACTTTTCATAAGATTTTATTTTAAAATTTTATCCCTATATTCAAATAAATTGAATTGAAAATAAAATGGATCAAAATAATAATACTTTTAGATTAGTGGGTCTCTCGCTCATACTCGGTAAATTTCTCTCCGGAAACTCATCATTAAAATCTAGGGTATCTTAGCTGGTTCCCTAATAATCCCGACCGACCAATTACCAGCGCCGCCTTACGAGTTACTAGTAGTTTTTAATTAGATTAATGGGTTTTCACTCCCACCCATAATATTTTTTCCATTTGTAGCATTTGCCCACAAACGCCTAACTCATCATAAAACTAACAAAGTGGAGTTAGAACGAATGACTTGGATAGTTTTGGAAATTTGGGTCTAAATCATGAAAAAAATGTTTGTGACAAGAAGTGGCCTTACTTTTGTTTTTGATAAGATTTACCCAGACTACACGTGAATGATCATCAACAATAGTGAAAAAATACCCCATTTGTCTCCCACCCCCTCCTTGTCCACATAATTGGGTAAGAAAATCAAAAAAAAAATTAAAAATTAATTTAAAATGGATGGTGGAGAAGAGGGTGGTATACAAATGGAGTACACCTTTGGTGTACCCCTAACATTGCTCATTATAATTATATAGCAACATTACACTCACACACACACACACACACAACATTGCCCATGGGACTCCGGGACCCTGTAATACTCAACGTCAACTTGTCCCTGCACTAATCTTTTTTAGTAAATAATTTGTTTGTCATTACTGAACATATATGTCATCAGCTCCACTAGCCGTTCATCGATCCCGAACCAGACTTGCACGTTTGCAGCTCAACGACAAAGTGATCGACGATCCTCGCTGTATTCACCGGGTCCTGCTTCAGCGAAGCCGCTCTCCATTTGCTTGGAAACTTCAGCTCTGAATCCCCCCAGCAAGGGTCCACCTTCCACTCCTTTGGAACCTATTTAGTTCCAAAATGTATTTAAAAAAACATTTTATGTAGTTTTTTTGATCAATCAATTATTTAGAGCCACGCGGTCATTTTTTTACCTTATCAACAGCGAGTGTGAAAACTTCAAGATCACCTTTGTTGTCAATGTGAAATCTAGTGAACGATTTGTAGTTAGCTATGCGAAGAGACGAAAAGGCTTCGTCGAAATGCAAGTGAAGCCAGTTAATGCATATGTAAAGGTAGCTCCCAAACACCAAAGAAACCACCGGAGTTGAGAAAACCCAGAAATAGAGAAAGACCGATGCATAATATATTGCTGCAATCCCACGCGACAGTGATTCCATCCCATTCTTGCATATGTTGTTCCTCGTCACCGCCATTACCTGGCCCACACAACCCATAAAAATAAATTAATTAGTAATTGCGTACTCTGCAATTAGCATTGATTCCGAAAGAAGCTTTACTTGTTAACTAGTAGTTAACATTTGTTCTTGCCTCGGGGACATCAAATGCAGACATGAGATACTTGATGCAGGCTGGATAAAGGCCAAATGTCCATCGCTCTAAACGTTCTTTAAGACCAGTAGGATCTGGGAAATGCTCGCTCTCGGCTGATCGGTACCATTCATATAGGGTATGATAACCTATGCACCAAACAACATAACATTCCTATGTACATTAGCCCTGTGTTCTTTCTAACTGTCAAAGAAATATCTAAAAATAAACTTATTTTTTTAAAAAAAATTCTCACCAACCTGATGTGCCGAGTAGATTATGCCTAATGCATGTCTCAACACCAAGTTCCAACAAGATTGTGAGGACCAATGCTGCTGCCAAGTGGGCAGACACATGAAGAATTCCAATTATCACTCGCTTTTTACGAGATACCTTTGATGGCACAAAACATACTGTTGCAACTAACAATGACATAGCACCGGCAGAGGACACATATGACTGACCAAACAGATACATGAATGAATCCCACACCGTACTAAAGAAGCTTCTCAAGTGACCAGAAAAGGTATCATCATTTAACAGGTGATCTAAATGACACTGAAACACGCATGAAACACAAAATAAATCGCCACAGCATGCAGTTTTATACATCTTTTTAAAACAGCCACTAATATACCTGAGGGAACATAGAGAAGGCTAAGACAAAGTATATGATGCCACCAATAATATCGAATTGCCAATTCTTCTTTCGGAACTTCAATATGTTTCCTAATGCAATCTGGCATTTATGCACGAATTAATGCGAAGTGTTACAATAATGAAGAATAAAAAGTAAATCAAACTTCGGATAAAGCAAAAACAAAAAGATTTAGACACCTAACCCTGCTCGAGTCCTCAAAAGATGGGTAAGAAGATTTGCTCTCATAGGACGCCCCATATAGTTTGTCAAAATTACGAAAGACGTGTGTAGGGTGTAGAAAAGCTCCACCACAACCATTAACAAGTAAATGTTGCACAGAAGCCGTGGGCCTATCAGATGGAACACATGAATGGCGCATATAATGATGCAAGTCTCCAGCAATTCTAAGTTTACATCTCCCTTTTAAATGGTCACGTATTAGGTAAGAAATATTCTTTCCCGTCACATCACTCCAATACCAGTCGAGAAGCCAATTAGGTTCGTGAGTCATAATGATCACATTGTCATTCTCTAGCACCTGAAAATGAAGATAAAATTCATCAATGATATCAAAGCTTTGAGTGGAGTGCGTGGATTGAGAAAATTAGAATTGCGTGAGAAGTCTCACGGTGAGACAAGGCCAAAACGTAATAACTTTAACATTTAAAGTATTGTGTTTTAGCCATGTCTCATGGGTAACCACGTTGTGCTGGAATGGATAAAAAAACACACAATATGTGATTTTAAAAAAAATCAAAATTATATTCTTAGATTCTAACTGAAGAAATGACAGTGCTTCTTTACACCAATTAGGTATGATGACGGACCATGTTTTATAAATTACAGTGACAAAACACGTGAAAGCATATAAAAAGAAAATACTCAATAGTACCAAGTATGTGATTAAATTTGTAAGCTTTGTAATTATTCACAATTCACAAGCTTTGTAATGATTCAACAATATAATAAAATCCTCTTTATTCACAATTCTAAACACAAAAAGATCATTCCCTACATCTGTATCATGCAACAAAAAACCCAGTAGAATCTCATATAGTCTAGGAGGGTGTGTGTACACAGATTTTACCCCTACTTGGAAGTAGAGAGACTCTTTCTAAGAGACCCCCGGCTCAACCACAGACACACTGACAAAGAAAACACAGTAACACGAACAAAGGCATGAAATAGAAATCATCAACATGGAAGGCAAAACGAAACTAAAAATACCTTAACCCCTTATTATCTCTGAGAACTTAAAATAATAGTCGTATTCATGAATATCACAATGGAGTGAGACTGAAAAAAATACCTTATCTTTGATACTTAAACAAAAAATACCTTATCCCTTATTAATTCTGAGAAGAACTTGAATTGGTATACATCAATATCAGAATGGAGAGCGAGGTCAAGACCAAATACCCACCACCTCTTTGGCAGTTGGAGGGCAAAATAGCTTCTCTTTTGAGGCATGAGCCACCCACCCAACCAACTTTTATGACAAATGTACCTCATAAATGTCTGAAGCCCATCAAACCAATCTGTAATGGATAAACAAAAATTGACCCACATATAAACAACTCGTGTTCACTCTATGGGACTTGAATGAAAAAAAAGGTGAAGCAACTTGTATTGCACGCCTTCAAGTAAAACATTAGACTAACCATGATTTCCTGGTATAACAAAACACTGAGGTCCTTCATAGTGCTTCAATTCCACAACCCCGGAAGGCAATTCTGGCTTGTTCACCGCAATATGGTCTTTCTTATACCACATGGGTGGTTGAAGAGCATACTCAAAAGGGCAAAAAAGGCGCCTCTCATATGTAAAAGCTGATGGATTAGGATACCTTGGCATAGAGCAAAAACAAGGAATGACAATTATTTGAGTTTTTAGAAGCAATGAGGAAAATGGCACTTTTGGTCACCCAATTATGGGGAAAAGTCAATTTAGTCCCTTATTAGTGTCAGCACATCTAGTCCTTGAAATTTAGTCAGCCCATCATTGGAGGGAAAATTTAATTTATCATACAAATTTGTTAAACCTCAAATTCTTGATTACATATGATTGTATCCAAACACTCATACGATCTACATTTCATAATTAATTCTTGCGACTCTTTATAATATCAAATTAGAGAATAGAAAGATTGTAGTTTTTTTAAATAATAGCATTGAAATATACTCTCTCCAACCCAATATTATCTTCCTTGTTACTATTCACATAGTCAGAACGTGTCTTTTTTCATACATATTTTCAATGACCATTTGTAAAAATAAAGCAGTCATGTCACCTCTTATTTTGTAGACTTTCTAATGTAGTTTTAAATATATTTATTTTATTTTAAAACTTTTCACTAATAATTAGATAAATAGAATTTAAAATAAGTTCAGTCGAACATCATAAACTGAAACGGGAAACTAATTTTGGGACGGATGGAGTACAGCTAAATAACTTCATTTTACTTGACAGTTGAGATATCATTTTAGAAAAATATTAAAGGAGCATACGCAAGATCACCGCCTATGAGGAGAAGATTCCCACGAGGCAGAGTAAGCATAGAACCATTGCTACTTTGGACACGGATGGAGGGTTGAGCAAGAAGCCTTGCCACTGTGTATGAAGAATTGCCACCATCACCGGTATCAGCCATAAAGTCAAACCAAAGATCATCCTTTTCACTGAACTGATCATACAAGAGATCTTCCTGTTTAGCTCCATCCTGAACTCTGCTCATAGCAGCCTATAAAGATTAGCAAGATCGCCTTAATCCTAAATTGAGAAATACTAGTATTACAAAATGTGAATAGCTGCAAGGTGACAAAGAATACCTGCAACATACGCATATCAAAACGTCCCACAAATACAGTAACTGAAACGAGCAGATCAAACACTGTTTTGAATAAATCAGCAGATGTCCTGTAAAACACATTGACCATTGTTACAGTTCCTATTTTCTTGTGCTTGGACATTTGCAAGAGAAAAAAATGATCTGTGTAACCTATGAAGGTGAATTAAAAAATAACATACCCTGAATACCAAGGAACCATATCCAAAAACTCAGGCTTCATCTGCTTTTCCTTCAATTGCTCAAATTCCTTTGGCGATAAAGGGTGTGAAAGAGCCCATCTGGGGTTTTCAAAAGATTTAGATGCTACAACTCATTTGCATAGTGGCATTCAAACATGATTTTTATGATGAGTTAAAAATAAGATCTAGAACATATCTACATACATAGGAGAAGGAACCTAGTGAAACAGTGGCAATCACAAGAATAGTAGTAACAAATAGTTACTCATTGACCCCTAAAACTATTACCCCTCTATCTTTTAGAGGACAGCCTAATTAATATCCCTTAAAGAAAATTTTAAAAAAATATCATCCCAGATGTTCAATGCTTTAATGCCTTAACCCTACTGGGCTCATCAACAAAATGAACTAAAAACCACTAGATATTACTCCCTTCTTTCCTAACAGAAATTTAAATATTCCATTTTGGACGACGTCCCAAAAAGACCTTTACACTTCTTTACTTTCCCTTTTAGAAAATGTATATGTGACTCTTATCATTTTTTCTATCTTCAAAATGTATTTTGATCACACACCAAACACCTTTCACTTTTCAACACTTCTTTTAAATTCTGTGAAATCAAATTGTCAAGTTCTTTGAGGGACAGAGTAAGTATATTATTTGAAAAAAAATTACAAGATAATCACTCACCCCGATGAACGTTCCACGACATAATTAGCAATGTAGAGGCCAATAAAAGTTGCCCATAATGAATAAATTGGTGAGATTTCATCTGATGACTCTGCACATGAGCCACCGCAACTCAACTAAAAAAAGTAACAAATATAGTATAGCAACATAAGATCATCAATCCACTGACATGGCTATAATCTATGAGCTGTACACTTGTACACAAGAGATTATGTGTACCTCTCCATAGATAACCCACTTAGATAAGAATGGATAATCACTGGCAGATCCAACCGGTGCAAACCAAAACTTACAAACTTGTTCTTTGAACTCGCTCATCCGGATAAATTTTGCAAGCCACGTGTTTCTCTCTGCCTTGTTCCACAGAGAAAACCAACTAGAATCTTTCCTCTCAAAGATTGGCTTTTGCTTTATTATAGCAAGGTTACCACAGTGGCTATAGAACACACAACATGCTATGCTTAAAACCTACAACAGCATCAAGCAAGTCCAAATAGTAAATGAGGGCTATACCCACTCATTATTTTGTGATGATTATTAAAGTGAGGTCTGGAAGTACTCTTACAGTACAATTTTGAACAATTGCCAAGATTTCAGGCCTCCTCTTAGCAACGCGGGCCACAAGTCCGAGATGGCCAAGCCCAAGAAATATAACATGGAAAACAAGAAGGATGCAGATGGAAGAGACGTATATAGTCAAAAACAAAGACAGGTTCATCCTAAGATCTAATCCCATTGACTGAAAACTGGGAAGATGATAGAGTGCAGCAACAAATATCCAAATTATATACCTACATAAATGAAGAGAAGAGAAAAAAGTTCCATTACGAATTTCCCTCAGAAGTAAAATCAAATGTAACACCGGAAACAAAAAAAAGTACGCAGTAACCATTTACCATCGGCTGAAATTTGAATAATTAGGCTGAATTGTTTTCCCAATAAAGGGAGAGGAAAAGAAGTAAAAGAATCCAAGTAAACAGGCATAGATCGACCACCACTTGACATTGCTATCCAACTTGTGAATGAGGGTGTGCACGTTATCCGACGATATGAAGAAAAGGCAACCGACGATGACAGTGATTAAGAAGTGCCGCGAATGCTCGTGCGGGTAAGGGTAGGGGTGGGTTAGGATTGTCCTGACCGTCTCCATGTTAAGGGTATCTAACAAGCCAGTGGATTGCTGCTTATCGGATCCCATCTCTTAGCTGCTGATCAAGAACTCTGCTCAACTGCACAGGAGACAAAGAAGAGGCATCCATCACAAATTCGAAACAGGGGACTTGCTTTTGCCATAATAAATAAAATAGGGTTTGCCTAAAATGGAAAATATTCTAAAATGGACGAACAATACCAGAAAGAAAAGAACCATTTAAAGAACATCGAATCATCCCGTTCACGGAATCACCACCATCAAATACCCGGGTTCAAGAAACCCAACATGGCTCGACCCGGAAATTCAAAATTCTGAAGAAAAAAAAAGAATTATCCGAGAAAATGCGACCCGATTGAATTGAATGAACAAAAAACAAGAAAAAGTTAGAGTCTTGACGCGAAACGAATGGATTCGCCTGCAGATGCGTGTGCTGAGTTGTGTGGTGCAGAGAAAAGAAGAAAGTGCGATCCTCAAACAGTTAGCTTTGATGTCGGCTGAAGGTTTGATCCGAATAACTGCTTCTGTGCGCTTTTTCCCAGGATTAAACTTTTGTTTTTCTTAAACCGCACAACCGCATTATACATGCGTCTATAACTGATTTAACAGTTTATAAAGATAATCTCAACTTGTTTGATTACTTCTCTACGGAGGAGTTCATTGGAGAAGGGACCCTATCCAACTAATTAGGGGCTCTGTTCAAACAAAAGTACTCCGTAAAATCTATCAATTAAGAGTACTTTTTTTTTAATAATATTGACATTATAGTAATAATAAAATGTCAAACTTATAGTTTTATAAGTTTGTAATTATATACTCCGTACTTTAATACCTAACCGAGAACTGATGAAATTCTTCTCTTATTCTTGAGAGCAATAGGTTGATCACTTCTTTATAGTTTATTAAATTTACTGATTTAGAACTGTATTTATAAAAATAAATCAAAAACTTTTTTAAAAAATAAATATATACATGTATATATACAAAAAATTGGGCCCCATTCAAAAATGGGCTTGGCCAAGTGACTAGCCTACCCCTCCTTAGAGCGGCCCTTCATTGGAGATATTTTATATGAGAGTGAATAGTGTAATTTATAGTGCTAATATAACTTGGAATGCAAATATAGCATGTAACTTTTTATTTAGTAGAGCGACAATATGTTGGATCGATCTGGCAAAGAAATTATTTTTATTTGGCTTAAAATATAAGATTTTATTTATTTATTTTATTTGTAAACAAGATATGTGAATCAATCTAGTTTTTTAAAAGAAATTCTGATGGCTCACTTTTGATTTTTGAACATCTTTTTAGTATTACCATCATATTCACATTAATTCTTTCTTTCTTCCATAAATTTTCATCACACAAATTCAATCGTTCAAACTTCCCAAAAGTCAAGTAAGAGGATGCTAGTTACGGTGTATTTATTAAGAAACATTGTCTCACGTATTCGAATTATCCTAATATGTATAATACTTTTAGTAAGGTGTTGTGAAGTTGAAGACTAAACTTTAGTCCCAATATGATTTACTTTTTTAATATTACATTTTTTCAATAACGTTTTTTTTATTTGTATGTTTTCATTGATCGATTGATAAGTAAAATATTTTTATAACATCGTATCTTGTAGAATTTTTAATGTAGTTTTTAAATATAAAATTTATATTTTTATGTCGACATCTCCCTTCAATTGAAGAAACGAGGCTTGGATTTCGAAGAAGATGAGAAATTGATGTACAACCAATTGTACAGTATAAATTACGGTAAACAAAAGACCTTTAATCCTATTTATCAATGACCTTCCAATCATTCCTTGGGAAATTTTTCTAAATAGTACTAGAAATTGTGACTTTTCTAATGTAGTACCATATGTTTTATTTCTCAATGTAGTGCCACTGGTCATTGTACATTGATCATTGTTCACATAAATATCCACTACAACTAGACATTGTTCAAACAAAATGTTTATCATCACTAGACATTATCCAAGTATTATTTGAGAAATAAAAAAGTGTGAATACTACATTAAAAAATAACATATTTTTAGTGCTATTTAGTGCAAATTTTACTTTATTAATATACTATTTTGTGATTCTAATGTTAAATCTGCTTGTTTTTAATTTTTTAATTATTACAAGATTTTTTTATTTTTTTAAATTATTCATTTATTTTTATTAATAAATAAATATTTCCATGAATTCATATAAGTTTTAAATTAAAACTGATGAAAAATGTAAATGAAACGGAGAGACGAGTTTTTGAGAGTGATAGCATTGCAGAATTTTTAGGACGATAATGGCCCATAGAGCACCATGTTGTTTGTCGACAAAATTTACTCCGTAATTAAAAAAAATAATCTCTGATTTATAAATACTCCGAGGAGTACCTTTCTATACACCTAGGCAGTGAGCACATTTTTTTTATACACGAGCTCCGACCAAACAACCGAAGAGCGGAACCAGTGTCTACAATAATGCTGTATTGAGGCGTTATGTACAGTAAAAATGGCAAACAACAAAAAAATATGCATTTGGACACTAAACTAATAACGTAGACCTGTATTAATCTACCGCGGCGATTCGTGAATCGTGATGTGCTTTCAATTTGTGCAAGAATTGTAAAGTCTCTTTATACGAAGGATCGTTGCGGTTCAGAGGCTTGCATGAATTTATATGGTCAGTTGACTCTAACACCTGCACCAGCATCCATCCCCACATAAAGATTAGCCGCCGAGAGAGAGAAGCGAAGAGAGAAGAAGGTTAATATTTGAGTTTCAAACAAAAAGAAAGAAAGAAATGCAGAGGATTATTTAACTCACAACTAATTCACCAAATCCAGGATATGCAGACTCCAGAGGTACAATTTCCATTCTAAAAGCCCAGCCTCCATACCCTTCAACTATAGGGGTTACCTTAGTCTGCAAATGTATTGCATTCATTATTATTGTTTTTAGTAGCAGCTAGTTTCAGCACACTAAGGTAAACAATTTAATTGAATCAAACAAACTAGCTCTCCGTCTAGGTAGGTCACCACATACCTCGCAGAAACTAAGCACCTCAAGAGTCCCTCTCTTGTGAAGGCGGCGGAGGAAATCGTTCAGCTCCACCAATCTTGGGGACCCACTTCTCAACTCTCCTATCTGGCAAATTGGCATAATGGATAAGTGGATACGTACATAAATCGATCTTTATTTCTATAATCCAAAATAGTAAGGGTTCATTTGAATTCCGTAAATTGCTAGGGAATGGGAAGATGGGAAACAATCTAAGTGGAGACGCTTTATTCAGTCAGTTTTGCCACTGAAAAAGAAATATATCTACTCCGTAAAATTTTTAAATCACTTACATATTTTTTGATTTCTTAGTTTTAATGTAAGATAAATAGATGATTTTGATCCAAAAAAAAGAACGAATAGAGTTTGAACAATTGTTTTGTTTCCCCTCGTACTTTCTTTCATTCCAAAATTCCCTTATATTTTCATTTCTATTTTTTTCCCTAACATTTTCTGAGTTTCAAACAAACCCTAAAGGGAAATTTAGAAGGAAGAGATGTGGGAAAAATAAAAGATTGATGTACTCAATATATTTATTTTTAATATTAGTCCACACTCATTTATTACGAAGTACTTTGTTTTATTTCTATGCATTTTTCCCTTTCCCTAGAATTCTCCCAGATCCAAACATACCCTAAACTTCTGCTGAGATAATGTGCAAGGAGTTTCTTTTCTTCTTTTTTGGGCATAAAGTTACTCACACTAGGAGCAGGACGAAACACAAGACCCATACGCCAGGGCATGTCTGCAAGTTTGCTGCCGAAATGGGGACAACTATAGAATACCTGAGGACCCAAAGATCAAAGGGTAAATGAGGGAAATTGTAGCATAAAACACCAGTGTCTCAAAACAAGAAGGTCATATGCTTCATATCTATTTGAGAGAAGATGATGTTACATACAACACCGGCTGTATTATTGACAAGGTCCTCCTTGTTCTCTGCTTTTGCTTGATACAGCATCTGCTTGACAACAAGGCCTCCCATGCTGCCAGGCCAATCTCCACGCAAACCAAAAAAAGGGAGACAATGTTTATGTTAGGAGAAGAAGCTTCATTACACTAAACACAGCTCTATCTCTAGGTGTACAAGGGGAAAACTAATGAGAGATTATTTGTTTGACTAAGCAAGAGAACTTTCGTTTCTACGGAGAGAGGGGTCAGATGGGGCCAATCCTACAGTTGGAGGAATGGCGCTGCTTATTTCATTAGCTTATGGGTTTATAGATTGATTAATCCATTTTCTACAAACATGGCATATACAATAGATTTTGTATGTCTAGCTAATATAAAACAATACTCAAATATAGTCTATTCTTCAAATCATATAACTAGCACAAATTAATCAAACTTGGCAAGGTTTTAATGACTGGACAAACCAAGCCCAACTTGTGCCCAAACAAAAATTAGTGTTTGTGTTGGTGGTCCACCATACCCTGCCATGGAGAGGGAGAGGGGGAGAGAGGGTGGAGTGCAAACAAGAATGATGTGAATAAAAGTGACCAAGAGAAGGACAGACTAACCTATGAGTCACAAATACAACCGGACGTTTTCCAATACCAGCTGCAACAAGCTTCTCCAACAGCATGGAGCTTACCTCCTGCAAAATTGATTAATGAACCATGAAAGATATGTGAACATCAAATACCACAAATATGCTATGCTGCGCAGTTACACACAGAAGAAGTGCATAAAACACATGACCACAAGCTGTAGTACTGTGTTAATCCCCCCCCCCCCCACTGAAAAGCAAGATATAAAGAAACTGCAAGAATTCTCTCACTTGAATGCTGTACATAATCAAATGATGTGTTGATATGGACNAGTTGGAAGCCATTCCCCAGGCCAGAATGTTCCTTGCATCCCTGCTTCTTCATCAATTTTCTCTACAAGGCCAGATTTAGTTGAATACTTGTCCTCGGACAACCGCCATGTTTTAAAGGGACCTCCACGGAGCCCATGAACAAACACCACATCGAATAATGGACTCTCTGATTGTGAACTCATTGGTTCAGATACAGCGGTTGAGGAGTTATTGCCATTGGAATCTGTGCTTGAAGCTCCCTTCTCAGTATTTAGAGAATCATCACTAGATGTGGAGGATCTAACTGTTGAAGTTGGAATTGCACTCGCCATACATTTCCAGTGTGGTTTTTCAGGATTAATTACAAACACCATATCAGCGTATTGAGGGCACGGATGTGTTTTATTTGTGCTTCCAAGAGAGGCATCACAGTCTACCGACTCTTCATTAGTTTGCTCAGCAGAAAATACATTCAGCAGTGTTGCCCTGGCATAACTTCGAATTTTGAGGTCATTGCAACCTGGAACCTTTCCTTCAGCACATTCTCCAAGCCATCTACGCCAAGCTTTATCGGCAATGATCGATTTCTTTACTTTTGGAAGTACGGAAAGTACAGTTAGTAGCCTGGCTGCATGCCTCCGAATGTGAGCTGTGGGAGGTACGCGAACACTAGATGTGTCACCTGGATTGGAATTAGCAGAAGCTTCACCTGAAACAGATGACAAGTTTTCTGGTGACTCAGGGGCACGTGATGCATCGTAAGCTTCAATTGCAGATAGCTGTTCATAATCATCTTCTAATAACAGGCGCCGTATCAAACAGAGAACTCCAAAATCAGCTATCTTGTGTAAGCAAACAGAATCTTCTGCAGAGATCTCATTCAAAGCTTTGATTCCTTTCAGAGTGGCCAATGCTGAATCTGCAGCATCAATCTTGGGAACTTTATCTTTCTTAAGGTTCTTAAACGGTCCAACAAAAGGTTCAAGTGACAAAAGATCAGCCAAAGGAAATGTATCATCAGTTTCAGTATCCGCTCCAAGTTGCATTCCTGCTAGGTTAACAACCGCCATAGCCAACTGATTTGCAGTTTGGGTTGCTGAAACTATATTTGCTTGGTCAATTTGTGTCTGCAAAAATTTAAAATTGTGCCATACATTTTAAATTGTGAGTATAAAATCAGTATTACCGTTAAGATACACCGATAAAAAAGCATCAAACTACAAACCTTCACTTTATCAGTCCTCAGCTCGGCATTCCCTTTCACCAAAGCTGCCTTCCTGTAATTCAAAATATCACTCAGCAAAAGAGTTAACCATCCTTGAGAAATTGCTAACGACGATGGTCCATAATCTTCAAGAATGCACGAAAGGATATTTATTGCCGATGACCGCATTTCATCTGATGAAGATTTTGCAAAAATCCAAGGAAGTAGAATGCCAGACCATTTTTGGCTTTCTTCAACAGACATGTGCATTTCCCTAGTATAGAGCAATTCCAAGGCCTTGGCCAATGCTTCTTGCAAGGACGCATGCTTTGTTGTCTGTTTAGCAGTCACTCTCATCAAATGGAGTCCCTTCTCAACTGCTACTTCCTGCACTTTAGCACTTCTCTTAAGAGCAACTAGAAATGCAGACAAAGCTATGTGAGTCAGAGGGAAGTCCTGAGCTTTGCTTGCTTGGGAAACTATAGAAAGAAGACAGGAACTCCAATCAGAAACATTTTCATTCAACGGTATCTCTTCGTCCTCTAACAACAATCTAGCGATCAGACTTCCATGCCATTTTACAGATCTCTCAGGCGCCATTAAAGCAGCCATGATTGCTTGCCCATCCTGATCCAGTTCCTGGATGTGAGTCCTATTAGCTTCTGATGACATTGCCCAATTTGCCAATGCCCATGCAGCAAAAGGAACAGCAACTTGCTCAGAGTGCAAGTCATCCCAAAGTCCGGGAACCACTGCCGAAGATAAATTTGACTTTGCGGATTTCTCACTTATTTTGCTAAATAAAAGATTATTATGTGTGTGTCTGGCTGCCTGACTATCATCAGAATGCCCCATGTCAACAAATCCCTTAGTCCTTGCAAGTCCTAGAACTGTTGTACCTTCAAGAATCTTTATTCCAATACCCTTTACCCCTTTTCCTCCATCGTCGTCTTCTCCATCCTGGTGTGGATCATCCCAGTGCATGCCACCTTCTGCAATAACTTCAATGGCAGCTGCAATATCCCTCATCTCAGCATCTTGCGGCAGAATAGGTTTGAATGATACTTTGTCCGCACTTTGGCAGTGGGATGTGACCACATCCATAATGGCTGCAACCAGCATGCTCCTACCTTTCAAAGAATCAGAAAGACCAAACGAACTACTTCTACCTTTCTGCTCCCAAAAAAATGTGCAATGCATTCATATCAAACAAGAGGGGAAATGTTTGCATGAAGTATGAAGAAAAGTGAATGAGTGTAAACACACTAAAAATATCTAATGTCTACATCAAATCCATTGCTTAAACCAATAATTCGGGAAGACATTTCATTTAATACATTCCAAAAAAAGGTCAAATGAACTCACTCTATTTGATCTTCTCGGCTGAGCAGAGAAAATAAACCTAAGCAAATTAGGTACAGCATGTGGCCTCCCAAAAACAGCCTCACATACGTTTGGATCGGCAATCAAATACGCCAAAGCCCTAGCTGACTCGGCCTGAGTGCCTAAATTCTCTCCGTTGGACGACACTGTCTCCAGGAGCCAATCCACTACGGCACCACTCCCAGCACCAACTAATGCCGCTCTACGGCTCTCACTCGCGGCTGCAATGTCAGCCAACAAAGCAGCAACCCTAATCTCAAACCCAACCCTAACCTCATGGTTTGCAGATGACATTAACGACCTCAGCGACTTCCATAGAACCGAAGCAGCCATGCCAGTCTGCTTCATTCGATTCATTGTCTTCGTGAATGAAACCTTCGTCTTCTCAACCACATTTTCAAATTCCCTGTATACACGGCCGGCTGTCTGTTTATAGTCACCATCCTCATCATCACGCATCAGAATTAAGGCGAAGGGAGCAACTACGGCTGAAGCTATGGTGGCCGATAGGGCAATGAATACCGATCGCGATCGTTTACTGTGGAATAGTACAGTGGCAGGAGGATATTGAGGTGCTGGCAGATGAGGCGCAGGCGGCGAATTCTCCAACTTAATAGGCGTGCCTTCGACGGAATTCGTGGAAACCCTACGCATTGAAGACGAAACAAAGCGACGGAGATTGAATCGCAGCAGATACTGCCGCGTATTCCCGCTGTGAAGACGAAGCATGTTTCAGTTAATTCCGGTGTTATCTCGGGAAATTGCGTTTTTGCTTGCGTTGTTTGGAAATGAAAAGATCGGAATAGAGAGGCGTCATCGAGCAGCAGCCACCTGTACGGGGGTGGTCCGGCGGCAGAGGAGCGGTTCGTTAATGGCGGTGCATCGGTGGGCATAGAATCATCCGATGACGGAAATATGCGAATGTAAAAGTTCAATTGGGTGTGGGCAAAAAAAAAACGGAGCTCAAACGCGAAGGAGCGGATGGGAACCCCAAAAAATGAGTTTTAAATGGTTTTTATTAGTTCATTCAGTCCTTAAAAATTTCTTTCTTTAATCAATGTACAAGAAATAAAAAAATAAAAAGTTTTACGTAAAAGTTATCGAGAGATTGTAATAATAAACAGATAATTTTTTAGGAACGGATGGAATATTACAATGGTCGGTTTTGGGTATACTCGTAAAAGTTTAATTGATAATCACATTGTTTTCTTCGGGTCAGTTCAAAGTAAAATCTCAATGTGATGACATTTGTTGAAACTCGCTTTGAACTATCTCATTTTCAAAATGATAGAAGGTGGATTCTCTAAAATGAGAATAAATAACATTGAACTAGACTATTATTACTAAAACACTAATTGAATTAATTATATATTTTTTCCGTTATTTTTAAATATTTTTAGTTCTTATCTATTTAGGATAATATTACCTTACTCACTTCAAATATGTATATGTATATACAAGCCCAACAAACACATGCTTAAGCCTTACTTGGGAACAACACATCTAGTTAGGGTTTTGGGTATATGCTTAGAAGTGCATATCAATTTAAAAAATGCGAAAACTTGTTGGTTTGATAGCTTTTCTAAAATGCTAAAGTTAAACGCTTAAACAATTGCCAAACAGGTCGGTACTCTTAAATAACGCACAAGGCAGATGCTCTGATCGCTCGTTAGGCACACACTAAACAACGAGCAAGGAAAAAACAATGCTCCACATCTGTTGCAGAACTCAAGACAAGAATATTTCGTAACATTACACGACAAAGGGACAACATCGGGAGTCTCACATGTTGCCACAGTAGGATTCCAAAACCTTTGTTTTTCAATTCAATTCCATTGAATTTCAATTCCAATTCATGATGATGTCTACTTCGACAAAAGGACATCATCAGAATTTCATCCAATTCAATTCCAATTCCGTGTAACAAACGTATGAATTCCAAAACCAACAAATACACTTGGTTTGAATCAAAAGCAATCCCACATATATAATGAGTAGCAAGAAGACTTGTAACCCAATCCAATAAACCACCCTCACCCACACCATCTAAAAAAATAAAGATTGATGAAGCAATACATTGGATTGGGAATTTGGGATGTCAGCTGCAGATGCAAAATCCTCTTTAGTTAGTTTGCCTTTCAGATGAATGGCATTTTACAACATCTTCACATCTTGATGATATGCTTTTACCCCTGGGTGAAGGATATGTAAGTTCCCTTGCAATGGCAACTTCCTCAAACTACACTTACCACTCCCGACATCCACGGAACAATTAGTGGAGCTTTTGGATGGGCATTTCTGTAGGACTCAGAATAACGGTCCTTAAAGCTCAACCTTGGTTTCTCAGACTGCATTTGCAAATGAGAAAAAAAAAAGTCAGAAACAGCTTACATTAGCTTGCATTTGGTTATCGAATAGTTCTTTCACCAAACCAAACACTAAATAAGATTCTTTAAAGAAACTAGGAAAAGAGCTTACATATTTCAACCAGCACTCTTGATGTTTGTGTTCATAAATATCAGGGGAGTAGCAACCGGTTTCGGATGGGCAATAAACCCATATGTTGCATATCTTGTCACCCGGTTTGGCATGTTTGGCCTGATCCAAACAAGCCATACAACAATCGTAAGCAGATTCTTTGTGGTGGGTAAGACCCCATCTGACAGCATCACCACCATAGTCTGTGTGAAGTTCAGCATGGCATTCAGGAGGAAGCCGTTTGCCAGCTATAATTTCATTTTCTGACGAACAAATTTCCCTCTCATTAATGAATGAATGAATGAAGCACTGCATAATATTCTAAGGGTCTGTTTGGAACGGATGGACCCATAATATGTGGAGAAATTCCAAAGTTAAAGGGAAAATATTGTTAAACTTGAACATCTGTCACATGGATGAAAATCATTACCAAATTCCTCTCCTTCGGGCTTGTCATCGTGTTCCTTATTAATGACCTCAACAGGGATCCAAAGACCGATTTCCTCTAATAGCTCATCCCAATTGACATGCAAAGCTCTTGCAAGCACACCTAGCAATAGAGAAAAACCTTTAGGTAAGTACTTACACCCCAAAAAAGGCCCAAATTTGAAAATGTCAAAGGGAATCTGCAAGATACAAGATTTCAAAGGTGACCATAAGGGCATGTTTGGTGAGTTCTATGAATGAAATTACTAAATCTGCAGAGTTAGCCTGTTAAGCAACCAAATGGAGCCTCAATCACATTCAAATGAATGTGCAAAATACACAGTCAACATTAAAGGACAGAAAAAGTACTCGCTTCTTCTGGCACAAGGTTTGTGGTTGATGCTTTCCCAAGAATGACTTCATTGGCTTCTTTGAGCTTTGCCGTGCGCCAACTTTCAACAGCCTCTGTGCACCCATAGAATCAAGGTGACCAAATTCATAAATGAGCGTACAATTTAAATATTTTGAACAATTGATAGAAACACCATCCGAGCATTACTATATGAAGCTCGTTCTTACACAGAAAAAAAACAAATGAGGAGAACACAAAAAGTAGCAAGTTAAAAGGACCTGAAAAGTGGTTTTAAATAGAAATAGCATAGGAGAATGTTACACAAACAGCAGAACCCTTTTACCCCCACCAAGAAGCATTTCAAATATCTGTGGTTTTCAAATGCTAAGTGCTTTTTTATGCATTCAGTCACTCGACTGTACATTAAGATATTTTACCTCAATAGAACTAGACACTCCCTATGTCCGGATCTAGTCAACCACTTTCATATTTAAGGAGTGATAGTGGAATATCAAATAAGCCCTTTAAATGGGTTTATCATTCATTGATGCCAGCAATGCTAATATGCTATCTAGACAGTATTTTAGACAATCCACAATAATTTGTTTACGAAATATGAAGTTGATAATTAATTTCGAAGCACAAAAATGGGAATGTTAACAACTAAATTCGGTCAGAGGGAGTATTACGCAAAGTTGGTTAATTTATTCAAATCCATTCAGATAAAGATATGGGCATAATTTTCAGACAACAACAATCGAAAAACGTCCCGCAACTGTGGTCTGGAAATGGTAGGTGTAAGCAAACCTTCCTCCTACCTAAAAGGAAGGCATAATTTTTCATATTGAAAAAATTAAGTTTGTGGGATAAAATAGGAGCCTTTATAAATTAACTAGATACGTGCAGCCTAATAAGCTAATGCAAAAAGAACCATTATCCACATTTCTGAAACATCAAGAGACAAAAATGCTTTAATCCCAAGATTAACATGCTACACAACAACAACAACCCAGTTAAATCCCACAAGAGTAGGGTCTGGGGAAGGTGTATGTACGCAGACCTTACCCCTACTCGAAAGTAGAGAGACTGTTTCCAAAGAGACCCCCGGCTCAACGTCGAAAGTTGCATTGCTTGACTAACTGCTACTTCATTAATTAAAGAAGCGCAATTAAAGAAGCGCAGACAGTTTAGAGATCCATTTTGATTTATTCCATCACACCCCAAAGCCAAAAGATGGTGAAATTTTGGCTCCATCGGAGATGATGGAAAAATTAACATGCTACACTTATCCATCATTAAAAAAATCAATAAGAAAATATGCGAAATAGATTTCCACAAGATCACAAGATCGTTTAGATTGTGCTATGGAAAATCTAGTGGTTTGGATATGAGAGTTCCTCTCTTCTTATCCAAGAACAAATTTTTCACCATTTTCATTCCCCTCCTTTTTCTATCCCCTCATTTTTTTACTCAATCAAACACTATGTTAGTGCGTGGTCTGTGTTCAATCCAAAACTTAGCATAAAGCAACCTCATTTTAATTGCAATCAACAATGGTAAAGTAAGAAACAAAAATATAGCCATTGATTCAGCACAAAGATGCTTCATTTTAATAGCTAAAACACAGCGCCGCATATCAAGAAGATCAGATATGTGGGATTAGAAGTATACACTCACCTCTCTGCAAAGTTGCATTCGTAATGTCATTCAACCCTCTTAAAATTGATAGTATCTCATCTGTTATCTTTAGTTTCAAGGGTTTGGGAACTTCCACGACCTTTTCTTCTGTTAAAAATTCCTTCTTTAAATGGCTTACCTTCAGAGGAAGACAAAGTTAGCAGCTTTCATCAAGAAACAGCCCCCAGAAGAGGGGGGAAAAACTTGATATAACCCTAAACAAAAACTACCACCAAAATACAGATGAAAAAAATTCAAAAAATCACAAATCTTACCAATTTAATAAGCTCTGTGGGTTCTGATGCCTTTCTTATTCGAGTAGATTCTTCCATTTTCCTAATCTGATCTGGGCTATAACTAAAAGCTGCAAATAGCAACGGATAGGAAGAGAAAACGCACAAATCAAACAACCCAGAAAAGAAAACCCCTCAGAAAATGAGAAAGAGAGACAGAAAGAGAAAGAAAGATACAAGTTTGGGAATCATTGTAGGGGTAGATGTAGAGAGAATTGAAGAGAGAGTGAAGAACATAGAGAGCAACAGCGAGGTTGATTGAGCAGAGGATGATTGTTGTTCTCTTGTAAGAACACTTCCATCTCCCTCTAACAACACCCCACTCTCCTCTTGCCATCTCCCTCCTCCTCCCTCAGCTCAATCGCCTCCATCTCATCATCTCTCTCGCAAATCTCTCGCCGTTTTCTGTCTCTCTATGTATCAATCAAAACACACACACTACAAGGGAACAAGAATGAATGAATGAATGCACAAATACTCCGGAATAGATTTAAACATTCGATATCTGAGATGGATTTGCAGTGGAGCAAAATTTGTTCCTTTTTTTCTTTCTTTCTTTCTTTTGTTTTGTTTTGTTTTTTTCTTTTTTATTAAAAGCAAGGAAAATACTGAGTACGAAACAAGACACTGCCTGGGATAATAAAGCCAGAATGTCAAACACTAGTTCAAGGGTTACACATATAAGGTAAACAAATCAAATATTTTAAATTCGATTCGTGATTCGTATTCGAATATGATGATTCGAATTCGTGTTATTCAAATACAAATTCAAATTCAAATATTATTTTTGATTCGAATATTAATCAAATACAAATACAAATAGGGATATATTCGATTCGGATGATATTCGAATATTCGAATATATGTATATATACACAGACCATGTTTTCAACATCAAAAGTCAAGCAAAGTAATATAGTATAAAGTGTATTTAAAATACTAAGAATTCAAAAAATTAACGTAACACAAAAATCTAAAGTATATAATTTTTAATAGTTATATTTTATAAAATACAATGTGTAAGATGCAAATGTATTAATGTTTTTATATGCGGAATATAGTATAGTATAAAGAGTATCGTAAGTTAAATTACAAATTGATGTTGGTCCATCATATAAATTACATAGTATGATTATTCGAATATTCGTTTATGATTCGATAACTATTCGAATATTAATCAAATACTTATTCAAATCTTATTTTGAATTCGTCTCATATTCGAATTCGGATTCGTATTCGAAAAAATTAAACAAATACAAATTCAAATATATCGGTATTCGCTTCGATTCGGTTCATTTACATCCCTACATATAAGGTACGGTGAGAGTTTTAAGGCCTCTTTAGAAATACCTTTAGGTATTAATGTAACGTATTAAAAAGACTATTTATGTGTAGCATTTTTAAAACCAATCTGTATCATTAAAATTTTATAAAAAATGCTAAAGCTAATTTTTAACATTAATCTCAAACAAGCCCTTAATTGCTCTTTTTATTTGGGTTTGATTGTTGAGGATTATGAGTGGAAATCATACTCTCGCAAGGAATGCTATGGATGTTCCGCGGGAGTAAAAATTATCCCTGCCTAATTTTGTTGTACCGTTCATTTGTTTTGAAATGAAAAAAAGTTGTTTTATGTCAAAAAAAACCAGAATATGCATAGTGTATCCGGCTTAGCACTTAGCAGTACCTAAAGTAGACTTCTTTCGCTCAATAAAATATTCACTTCAATTGTGTTCTTTCTGAAATTTGTTCCACATGATATTTATTCTAAAACAGTGTAGTGTTCGTTTTGAATTTTTTTAAACTATAAGTTTGTCATGATATATTAAGAAGTAGGTCTTATATCTGAGTGTACCATATCAAAAATTAGGGAAAAAGAAAAGAAATATGGTTTTTTTATATGAAATATTTGTACTAAATAACACTAAAACTTAAGTCATTTCTCTAAATAGCACTTAGATTGTTTTCTTCCCTAAATAGCACTTTATAATGTCCATAATGACCAGTGATAGCAAACATTTACTTGAATAATGACTAATGGATAATGACTAAAAGTGCTACATCGAGAGAAAAAACATATGTAGTGCTATTCAAGGAAAGTCATTATGTTCTAGTGCTATTTAGGTAAATTCCTCTTTTTATATTCCTCACTAAAACAGATTGAAATAAAAAGATTTTTTTCCCTCTTTTTAGTTTATTTTGTCTTTTCATTTTATTTTTTCTTGTTCTCTCTAATCGAACAAAAAAAATTGTTTCCATCTTATTTTATTTTCTTTTCATTTTCAAACTTGTTGAACCAAACGTAGTGTTAAGGAACTAAAAGATAATCCGTAAAGGAAAAATTGAGGGAGAACACAAATTTTATTGTTGGTTGAGAAAAAGAAATTAAATTGTAGAGAAAGAACAATGTTTTGCCGATGAAGAAAATGACTCTTCTTTTGAATACTGCAACCAAAAGAAAGTGTTAAAGTTGAGAAGTATTAATGTCCATATATTCATAACTTTCACAAGTTTGAGGTGGAATATTATTATATATTCATCATAAATAAATATGGAGTATCTTTTATAAGTCGTTCTTGGAATAAACTAGAAAAAATTGAAAGTTAATTTTTCAAACCCAAATGAGCAAGGCTTAATTGTCAAACATAACTGCATTCCAAGCAGGCCATGTAAATTTGATAATATGATTACAAAATGGATTTTAATACAATTAGTTTTACCCTTTTTAAGTAGGCTAATCTTGATCTAAGAGCATTCATGGCACCATGCAAATCTATTTTGAGATGCTAGACATATCCATTCCTCCATGTGGTAATTAGACCAAGCTAGTTACCACTTGAGGAGGTGTTGGAATTCCATCCCACATCAGATTAAACAGTATTTATTGGCTTAAACTTTTGGTTAGAAAGTGAATTCAGACTTTAAATAAAAAAGTGGTCAAACTTTACCCTACACTGCACCCGATTCACTCAACCCACATGAAGTACAACAATGCTTCTTAAGAATATTCAACCAAAGAGTGCCATTGCTCTTTAAGAGTTGGAAAAACTCCATTACTCCTACTTAAGACTAGACACAATTTTGGTTCAGAACCGGAACTAGAACTGAAAATCGGCTCTTATTTTTTATATCGGAACCGAAACAGCTACGAACTAGGAACATGTTTAATGTTTTTGTATTTTATCTCTTTTATGCTTATTTTTAATTTGTTTGAAACTGATTCATAATACTCCATCTGTCCCCCTGTATATGTCCACATTTGACTTTTGAAACTGTTCATCTAATCACTTTGACTCATCAAATTCTCTTAATGTGTTAGCTCTAATATAGTCATGTGTGATCTTGTTTTATTTGTCTTAACATATAGATTATTAATATATAATTTCTATAATTTTTTAATATACAAATTACAAGATAAAATGGATTAAAGAAGTGCATTGGATGGTGTGTAAAAATGAAAGTGGACAAATACAGGGGGACGGAGGGAGTATTTGCTACCAAGAAAAATGTTTGAAGTCAATTGTATAACTTTTTACCAAAAATTTTATTTAAAAAATATATTTGGGATCGGTTCGGAACTAGAGCCGCTACAGAACTACAAGCACCCAAAACCGTCCTTACAAAGTACATGATCTGGTTCCCCTAGAATAGAAATCGAAACAGTATCGTGTCTAGCTAGCCCTACTCCTCGTTTCTCCCTCCCTTGAGAGTCGTTGAACTTAATTACCTTTTATTGAACTTAAAATCTTCATTATTTGCTCGGGCAAGCTTTGGGTATACGCCCGTACTAAGACTTTGAGTTATGGGGGGTGTGAGGAGAGACTTTATCACCCTCCATCACGCCCCTCTTCCATGACACATTAGGTGCGAAGGGGCATGACCCTAGTTCAGAATTCAGATGACCACCAATACACAACGATGCCTTCTTCTTTCCTAATTATTAATTTTTTTATATTTTGAATAATAAAAAATTAACACATATTTAAGCTCAATCACTTCCATTTATACTCATCGTAACATACATATATTTTTATTACTTCACATCATACTCTTTTACACAACATTGAATCCATTTTTTCATCTTTGAAGAGTTTTATGAAATGGAAAACATATTACATTAATATTTTAGATTCAAGCCGACTTAAGCCCACTATAAACCTATCATTTCAAGCCCTAACCCAACCTATATTACTTGGTGGTATCGAATTTGCCCAATGTATTAAATTAAGAATCAACGTAACTGTAATAAGTTGGTTATCACTAAGTTGGGATCTTAATGTTTTACTTCTTACGTCTCAATTTAAGTTATTTATATGCTATTGACAATATAAAATGTTAACTAATATTATTACAATTTTTTTACTCATTCGATAAAATAATATAGTTATGTTATCTCATATTTACATAGAACTTTAATATATATAAAAAATTATATTTGAGACAAAAAAAATAAGAAAATGATATTTATGCTCCACTTGTTGTTGTTGTCATTCCAAAGTGTACTATCTTGTCTATTTATACGAGAAAGCTAGGTAAATAATACTCCCTCAGCCACCCTAATATTTTCTTATTTTAGCTTTTTGTGTTAAATGATGAAAGTTTATCAGAATATCCTTAATGAAAAAATGATGAAGTGTAATAATTAAAATAAATGAGAATAGTTGTGATATTTTAAATATTAAAAAATGGATAATAAAAAGATTTATGTAGAACAAATAAAAAAGACTAAATATAACTTTAGAGTGAAAGTATTTTTAGAGTGACAATAAAAATTGGGCGTTAAAAATAATATTTTAAAAAATAGGAGGGAAAGTATATTTTCAAAAAAAAAAACATAGTTCGCATTCCAACGGTCGGCTCTTGCTAGTTTTAAAGCATTCTCCGTATAACGATGGTCTCTCATTCCAGCAGTGAAGAAACGGCGGCGTCAATGGTCAAGTACGAGGAGCTACGGCGGCAGAGGGTGGAGGAGAACAAGCGGCGGATGGAAGAGCTCTGCCTTCCTCTCCTCTCTCAGGCCCTCAAAACCGCACACTCTCCCAAACCCTCCCCTGTATGTACAAACAACCCCTAACCCCTCCTTTCTGTTTTCTTTATCATCTTTCCTTTTTGCCTGATTAATATGAGATTCCGGAGACTGTACAGATGAAGAAAGCAAAGCCACGCGCCGCCAGGACAGAGCTTGTCCAGGTTCGCCGGTCTTTGCGCTCCACCAAAACAGCCGCTCCTGTGTACAAAGAAGTACTAATTAATTCTCTTGGTTCTTTGTATTAATAACTTTTAGTTAGTTTGCTTTAAGAATTAATTAATCTTTTGGTTAGTTTATTGACTCTAATTCATCCGGATTGAACTGCAGGTGACCTATTACGAGCGAGTTCTACCAAGGAGGTAAGGTGTTCGATGAAAGTCCTGAATGAAACTTGCTATCTTTCTGCATGTTTGCCTGTATTTTTGAACTGCTATTCATCTTATTTCTTGTAGAGCTTCGTGCCCGCGGAGGGAT